ATGTTTATGTCAGACAGAAAAAAAAACACAAGCTCTAAAAATATATTTTGAAATTTAATTGAATTACTTTCAAAAGAGTGCAATATTCAATTTTAAAATATTTGAATAGAAAAATTTCAAATGAAATATTTTAAATTCAGAATCCTAGACTCTATAGTGTCTATAACACGAAGCGTTCATAACACCAACGACGCCGAGTCACATGACCAATGAATTATGAAAGACCAATGACCATAATATTATAATAATTTATTATTATTACAATAATAAAGGTATACTATAGCTATGGTTATAAATCTACCGCGGTCATGGTTGTCAGAGAAACGTGGAATATTTATTATACAAGGTGTAACACACTAACACTGAATGACCCGACAATAATTAATAAAAATAAATTTAGTTTTTATTTTATTGAAATAAACGCCGCACGAGGGCATTGAGGACAGCTAGTAATAATTATTTAATATTATTATTTGATATTTGAACAATGTTTAAATTATAAAGTGCCTAATACAAATATAATTGAAATCTACCATAGTTTTATGCTGTTTAAAAATATTTAAGATCCACATATTTTTTATATGCGTTTTAAGTTCAAATGTTGACATATTTCATTAAATTACGAAAATTTGCAAGTCTATAGCAAATGTATTCAGTTTGAAATTCATAAAAGTTTTTTTTCATATCTAACATTCTAATTTTGAAAGAAGAATACCAATACGATTTTCTAAATCTTTCAAAAAAAAAAAAAAAAAAGTTCACCTGAAAGTACACTATTATAGCCATGGAATAATTTCGATTTGTATCAATTTTATTTTTTATAAAGAAATTTGATTATTTATACAATAGTGTGATAGGATGACACAACATCTAACCCCACAGAATCGTTTCTTGTACCAATTTTAATTTGAATTCAATTATAACACATTCACTATAACGACATGTTGACAACTACTATACAGCAGAGCGATACCTATACTTGTCCATTTTTTTTATTTTGTTATTATTGAAAAATATTGATCGTAGAAACTTGAATCATTCCACTATCACTTAAAATATCATTTTCTATACACAACGAAACTGTTAAATAATTTAGGCTGATCTTAGGCTATTTATATTACTATTATATTATCATATACTACCATAATATATTATCATCTTATAATAATACATTAAACAATAAGTACACTATAACTACTCTTTTTGTTCAATATAATGATATGTACAATAACATGTTTTTACAATAAGAAACAGAAACATTAAATGCTTGTGTAAAGAAGCAAAAAATGTAATTGTACTCCCAAGAGAATTTTTTTTTTCAAAATGTTTGTTTTTAAATTTAAAATAAAAAAGTAATATTTTATCATAATGTGTGTTTTTGGGTGTTTTATAAGATGGAGAAAAGTCTGTCAAATTGTTGAAATCAAGTTTTTAAGTTTAAAACAAATAAATAATTTTTTTTGTATAAACGAGATTTTACACTCAGGAAAAAAATTTCAAAAACCGCTGGGAGCCAAACAGCATTTATGCCACAAAATAGTAGGTACACAGTTATAGTTTTTCTGATTATACTCTGAATACTTTATAAATATAAACAAAGTCTAACTGCCTATGTGCCTATACCTACGTATTTAATCCAAAGTGTTGATATTTAAAAACAACCTCGATAAACAATTGGTTCGTAAGTAGTTATGTGATCAATGAATGTATAACTATCAAAGGATCTTTTGTTTTGATGTACCCTAGGAATTGTTTTTTTTTTTTACAATGATGTAATAAATATACTATTGTCGTTACGGTGTATAAACGAATACGGTCCATAAATATTTATTTTTATATCAATATAATTTTAAGCCACTACCTAACCCTGCATTACTGTTTGAAATAAATATCAATTAAATACCAACCATTTATGTAGAATATGTTTTATCAAGAACCTAATTATTGAATAGGTAAGTTTTACCAACTTAAATTGTTTTTTTAAGAAAATTTAAACTTGTCAATTAGAAAGTTTTCTCTTATACCGATATTATAACTACAACTGTACAATTGTATGAAATACGCAAATACCTTGGGACACACATTTTCCTATACAACTTGAACTGGTATTTTAATTGTTAAAGGAATATTATTTTAACAATTATAAATATGTTACTGAATACCTTTGTGTATAATATAAACTCTACATTATGAACGATAAACCACTGTCTTCAACACACTACTACTAGTTACTACCGAACTCCGTATGACGACGATTACTTATCCTCCGGTAACCATTGTTTATTGACATGAAAAAAAAAAAAACATCAAAGGCATCGAGCCTAAACCCCCGTGACCTGGCAGACTTACCTCAGTGGACGCTGGTAAGTATGTCTGCTATGGAGAGCGTTGCTCGGAGGGCATACAACAAAGTTTAAAAAAAAAAAACTCTTCCTGGATATCTTATATATTTAACTGGTTGTTCACCCCATGACAAAGTATATTTTGTCATGGTTCACGTATGGGTAGAAGTGCCGAAAACCTGTTATAATTACAGTTATATTTGAATACCGGGATTTTGTTTTTGTTAGTTGGGTAATTTTTTTTTTCACGAGTAATAATTTAGTTCTGAGCGAGATAAGGTATCGAATAACGAATATTAAAGTGTTTAATACTGTCTATAGGTTTTAGGAAGAAATTTAAGTGTTAGGAGAGATGATCGAGATTAAATGAAAAAAAAAATAGTTATAATAGCGAGATTATAAATTTAAATAAATGACTCACATACTGTATTTTTTCAGTCCATACTCTAAAGTGTACCTATAGTGTACAGTGAATAGTGTATACCACAGAATAAATGAATCCACACTAGGTATACATACATTTAATGATTAGGTTATTAATACACATCATTTATAATTCATAGTTTAATAATATAAATATAATATAATGTTCTGAACTAATTTTATTGTACCTGTTTATTTGAAACATTGAAAATACAACGATTTATACATCCAATATTCGAATCGATTTACTATTCAGTATTTACTAGTATTTCTATTCGTATTTCACTATATTACACTTAGCCACCGGTTGGATTATTAAATATATTTTTTTTTATTAATGTAGGCTCATTACCCACCGTGGTCTATCGTCTCAGACCATTGACCACCCTACCGTTTACACCTTGAGGAGGGCCACCACATCTAAACGATAATGACGGAAACAAAAAAAAAATAATAAATAATAAACTAATTAATCAATACATAATAATTAATACATTCATCTCAAAATGAGAGGCATCTTGTAAAAATGTTGTATATAGATCTTTCACATCAAAATCCGTAGAGTATGAAAAACCAATGGACAGTTGGCCATTTAGGTAGCAGAAAAAAAATTGGGTATAAACAGTGCACGGCGTGAAGTTGCCCCCCACCCACATGATCCCACAGACTTCAAACTGGTATCAAAATTTTGCAATTTTTATGCAATTAATTGCATGCCTCGCCAAAAAATTTGTAATTCATCGTGAGGCCCATAAATTCAAAAATAAATATGATTTTTCCAACTTCAAGCCAAGGTCAAGGCCCCCACACAGATGATCCAAAAAAGCACAGTTAGTAAGCGGATAAATAGCAAATAGTAGTTAATCTATTATTGAAGTTGTCGACTGCAAACATTTTTTTTTTCCGAATTTTTTTATTTAAAAATTTCCTATGTAACCTATAATTGGTATAGAAATAATAATAAACATAATTTTTTTTTTAAATATACTAGTTAACTACAACTAAAATTACCATAAGGTAGGCTACACAACCCTTATGGTCCCACTGACTTCAAACTGGTATGGACATTTGGCAATTTTTCTTGGACTAATTGCATGTCTCTCGAAAAAAATTGCAATTCGTTTAGCGGATATTAAAACACGAAATGGCGCGTGGAGCGATTTCATGCAGTCCCTTCACATGGTCACAAAAACTTCAAACTGCCTTAGCAATATTTTACGTAATTATACACCCATAGGCCATAATATTATAACTAGGTTAACAATTTCAATTCATAAAAAAACTACATACCATCATGGATAATAATACTACTATTAAGTCGACTCTACACAGCGTTTGAAAAATCTAACAATGCCCATGAACATTTAAAATACTCAGTTTAATCCTATCCTACAGCCTTTGTTGGACAATATTGACTGAATGTCTTAATATTTTTTTTGCAACTTAGTATAATTTATGTAACTTTTTGAAAAAGTCACCGATAAATTTATACCATGTCAGTACAATGGCCTATAAGTATGTGTAATGTATGTTTATAATATAATTAGTATAAAATATTTTGTAATATTATAAACTTTCTACCATGTTAATACTCGTAATTTAAAACTTTAAAATAGTAGTATATTTTTTCTTGTTAAATGTACCAACTAGTATTATCAATTATGTTGTACAAACTACAAACAAAATCAAAAACATAAAAAATATTAAAAATAAAAATAACTTATATATAGTCTGATCAAAATAAGAACAGTTGTCGGCGACGACGAGTTGTCGTCGGGCGGCGGTCAGACGGGTTTTGGGCGCTGCCACGTTCCCAGTACAACTGCCCCGATTGCCCCCCCCCCCCCGCCTGTCAATCACAGAATTAAAAAGAATAAATATTAAATAAGTAATTGTATAAATTTAGTGAAAAATATAAAAACCTATGAATGCTTGTGGTAATAACGCATCGTGTTTTAATAGTGTTTAACCTTCAGTAGGTCGCGAGGGGTAATTTATTACCCCACTAATTTTAAACTATGTTTTAATATTATTTAAGTTGGTATGACAGTGTTGGGATTTTATCTAGCTTCTATTTATAAGTCATTAGTAGATAATATTAAGTTTATTTAACGTTTTATCAGTTAGTACGTTCAATACCAGCGTTCGAAGTGTGTGTGTTTGAGTTTGGCAAATTTTTACCCCGCGCGACGAAATAAGTATTTTTTTTTCCGTACTATTATATTATATTTGGAAATGGATGAATTAGAACGTCGACGAATTGAAGCGTTCATTGACGATTTCGATGATAATGAAGATATTTGGGGAGGGAACTCAAGTGACGAAGAAGAGGATAATGTTGAAATGTTACAAAAAGATCATAACACTGATACTGAACAATCCGATATTTCTGATGAAGAAAACTCAGAAGAGGCAGAATATAATTTCGTAGATAATGCGATTATAAACGATGATAATTACCATGAATCAGATGATGAGTTACCACTTAGCATGAGAATGTTGCCATACTATATTGGGAAAGATGGAACTAGGTGGAATAAACGTGCGCCAAACCAGAGAGTTCGCACGTCTAAAAAAAATTATGTTACGGAAAAATCAGGTGTTTCTCCAACTATTAGAAACAAAACAAATATTCTTGAATGCTGGCAAGTGTTTTTTACAAAACCCATGTTAGATACAATAGTAAATTGCACCAATATATATATATCAAAGGCACGTGCAAGTTATAGTCGCGAACGTGATGCATCGGATACCGACTACAAAGAAATAAAAGCATTGATTGGAATTTTATACATGACGGGTGAGTAACATTATTTTTGGCCTGCCATATAATATATTATTATTAGATTTATGTAAACGGTAAAAATAGAATGATAAAAATAATAATTGATATTTTCAATAATCTTACGATTCGTCGTTGTATTGTTGTATACATACCACCATTCGGAAAAATGAGATATAAATATATTATACTGAAATATAAAAATATACATACAAATTGCTTTATTATTCCGTAGTTATCTTATTTTACATTTTTTTTTCTTTGGTAGGGGCTATGAAATGTTCTCATAGAAGTTCGGAAGATTTGTGGCAAAGTGATGGAACCGGAGCAGATCTATTTGCTTGCGTAATGTCAGAAAGACGATTTCGATTTTTATTACGATGTATAAGGTTTGATGATATTCGTGGGCGTACTCAAAGAAAAGAAATAGATAAGATTACACATATTCGGTGGATTTTTGAAAATTTTGTCAGTAACTGTAAGAAATCATATTCAATATCAGAATACGCATGTGTTGATGAAAAGCTACAATCATTTCGTGGTCGATGCTCATTTCGGCAGTACATCCCTAACAAGCCAGCCAAGTACGGCATTAAAATTTTCGCGTTGTGTGACAATGTTACATATTATACTAGTAATTTAGAAATTTATGCAGGCAAGCAGCCAGATGGCCCATTTTCAATCGACAATTCTGCAAGTGAAGTAGTAAAACGGTTAGTGTCTCCAATATCTAAAACTGGTAGAAATATAACGGCAGATAATTGGTTTGCGAGTGTATCATTAGCTGAAGAACTTTTGAAAAATCATAATCTTACATTAGTAGCTACAATAAAGAAAAATAAAAGAGAGATTCCAAAAGAATTTCTTGTTACTAAAAATAGGGAACTTTGTTCTTCTTACTTCGGATTTCAGAACAACATGTCAATAGTATCATATATGCCGAAAAAAAATAAAATTGTACTAGTTTTGTCAACAATGCATAGTAGTAAAACTATAGATGAAAGTTCAGGCTTAGCAAAAAAACCAGAAATTATAACATTTTATAATGCCACAAAAGGTGCAGTTGATAATATGGACAGGATGACAGAAAACTATACAGTAGCAAGACGGAGTAATAGATGGCCACTTACAGTATTTTATTCAATTTTGAATATCGGTGCGGTAAATGCTCAAGTTATATATCACGAAAACAGTCAAGCTAAATACACTCGTCTTCAATTTTTAAAAATATTAGCAAAACAGCTAATGGATGAACAGTTACAATATCGTGCAACAATACTTTCACTTCCAAAAAATATTAAAACGCGACTAAATATTTATGGTTACAAACCAACATTACAAGTAGGTGAGCAACGGGTAAGAGCGTCAGGAAGATGTCAATTTTGTGACCGCCAACGTGACAGAAAAACTACAAAAGTATGCACTAACTGTGCAAAACTTATATGCAGAGACCACTTAGTAGAAGTATGTCCAGAGTGTTTCAGTGAGATGTAAAAAATAATAATGTTAATAATTCTTAAATTAGTTTAAAATATTTATACCTATCATTTATTTGTCTAATAAGTAAAAAAAAAAAAAATGTAAAATTAAAAGTATTAATTATATTTCGTATTCTTTTTTTGTTATATACAATAAAAATTTAATTTCAAATAAATAAATGTTAGAAAAGTATATTATGTTTACTCAAGGAAAATGTTTACCCCGCGCGACGGAATAGGTACTCATAAACCGCGCGACCTACTGAAGGTTAAACGGTGCCTATTGTTATTTCTTATCGAATGGTGGACCTGCCGTTACTTGCGTGCTGTACTTCTTAGAGTTTTCCTATTTTTTACTTGCGTCTAGATATGCCATTAACGATTTCTGTAGACAACAATAATATGATTGTGTTGTCATTTGCAGTCCAGACGTCCAGTTGTATATTCTTGCATTTTACTAACCTTAATACATCGTGTTTATAATGGTAAGTTTAAAAATATTTTTAATTACATGTACCTACCTATTATTAAAATTAATTTATTAAATGATACAGCTGTAGGTGATTCTTTTAATAATCCTCACTAATTTCGTATTTGTTGATTTAATTTTTGTATGGCAATATGGCATGAAGAAGTTATAATATCATGTATTTTAATATTGCTTAGTTATTAGGATACATTAAACCTCCACGCGCCATTTCGTGTTTTACCATCCGCTAAACGAATTGCAATTTTTTTCGAGAGACATGCAATTAGTCCAAGAAAAATTGCCAAATGTCGATACCAGTGTGAAGTCAGTGGAATTTTAGTAGTAGTTACCTAGTATATTTCAAAAAAAAATTATGTTTATTATTATTTTTATACCAATTATAGGTTACATGGGAAATTTTTGAAAAAAATTCGGAAAAAAAATGTTTGCAGTCGACAACTTCAATAATAGATTAACTACTATTTGCTATTTATCCGCTTACTAACTGTGCTTGTTTCGAATCATCTGTGTGGGGTTCCTTGAACTTGGCGTGGATTTTTCCCAATCATAATTATTTTTGAATTTACGGGCCTCACGATGAATTGCAAATTTTTTGGTGAGACATGCAATTAATTGCATAAAAATTGCAAAATTTTGATACCAGTTTGAAGTCTGTGGGATCATGTGGGGGGCCGGGGGGGGGGCAACTTCACGAACGTGTATAGTATTCGAATTTAAACTTATTTAGTGTTTTGAATAGTTTCTGAGTATATTACTTTCATATTACTATTTTTTTTAAACCCCTTTCCTCCATTGAATATTAATGAACATTCCTCCGACCTCCACTGTAATATAGGATATTTTTTTCCTCTATTAAATTTTATAAAAGGATTAAATTATTCACAAAACGGAACAAAAAGTCCACCGAGAGGAACAAAATATCCCAACAACATTCTATCCTTCCCTTTCTGAATTAAACATTATTTATTAGCAGTTGCCCTAATTCAACACGTTATTCGTGGTTACTTCACATTTTATATTATTAATTCACCCTCCTCAGAAAATCACTCAAATTTAAAAAAAAATAGAATTTTATATTTATCTGCGCCCAAACTTATGACTTATGAGTGATCATAATAGGTCAGTCACATATTTAGTTCCATTTAATCAGTAATGCCAGATTTAGTGGGTTTGTAAATTACTGCTATAGCAGTAGTGACCCGTTACATCAAAATTGAAATTACTACTATAGCAGCATTGACCACGAACGTGTTAAATAAACACTCATCATAACTAAGTACATCAGTATTTCATTCCTGCGTTGATGTATATATCGACCTCAGTTGGGACGTAACACACGGCTGTGATAATATGGGCCTAATAAAACGAAATATTAGTTATTATACTTATGATTACCTAAATATGAAAAATATTACGGACCTAAAAGTTATAAATTAATTTTAATTCTATTTAATTTTTTCAATTTCAACATAAAAATTAAGAAAAATGTCTACTTTGATATTACTTTTGATTTCTTAGATGCTTTTAAACGATTTATTTCAATATTTAAAATCGATATTAAAACCTACTTCAAACGCTGAATGCTATTAAAAAGTCTTATATGTTTGTATAGGTACTAGATTTAAACAAAAAATTCACATTCACTGATATTTGATGATATTTTAATTTTTAGAACACACACAAGTACTTGTTTTATAAAAAATTAATTTATTTTAAAATTTTGTTTCCTCTTTGAAAATGAAAAAATTGTAATGTCAACCGACTAATATTGATGTAATAATTTTATGATGACATAATATTATAATATACTGCCAGGGGATTATTCAAAAGGTGGACACACTCATTTTTTCCAAAAGTTTTCACTTGTTCGAAGAGTCTCACACTAAATTAAGTAAGGTCCTCTATTGACACAATTTGTGTTACACAAATCTGAAATTTGATGTGGAATATTTTTGCACATTTAAGTATTTTTACTTTTAGAGACATGATTGGATTTATTTTTGATTTTTTTTTTGCTAGCATTTTTGTACATTTTTTATGACGTATCCAAAAAACACTATCCGTTATTTTATAATTTAATGACATCCATTCATCAACCAATCAATGGAATTGTCAATTTTCCCAATCGATAAGACTAAACGTTTCCGTTTCATTTAGACAAAAACATTTTGTTATTTATTTTGCAATTAGGTACATTAAATGAGGTAAATACATTTTTTACTAGTTCTAATGCTATATTTGCTATATTAGTATTTATTAATAAAATATTGAAAAAAAAGGTTAAGTGTATATTTTTAGAGCATATTTATAGGGTTTATGCGTGACTCCGTATCTAGAGCTTTTTTAGAGCTATAAGTCGGGTGCATTGTTTATTACGAGTTAAAGTCCAGTGGAGTAGTGGACAAATATTTTGCTGGTTTTATCTGTCTAACTCCGCTCGGCTCATCAAAACTTTAAAATGTACAAAGTGCCTATAATAATAAGAGTTCAAAATTTGATTTTTATATTTTGAAATTTTTAGAAATCTATTACGTTTCGGAATATTTTATCAAAAATGTAAGCAAACAATCAAAAAAATGTGAATTACTAAGAAAATGGTGACGATAAAAACAGAAAAACTTTTATTTTTTGCTAAAAAATGTTTTTTTTCTAACGACATCCATTTTTATAAAAATAAATTTCCAAAAACTTAATACTAGGTATTATCTAGAAAAATTAGTACCTATTTATTTTAAAACAATCGAATTGAAGTACCTAACCAATTTTAGTATGTTATACCTTGTATCAGGTATCAAATTATAATATTTAATTTACAAATGTATTTTTTTTTTATTATTATTATTATTATTATTTATTCAACGAATATTTATACACACTAACACAACGATAAATAATATAATTATTTAATACATTTAAAACAATTACGATGGTATAATATGACCAACCAGTGGTAAAGAACACAACGTTTCTTTTTTATTCTTTATTTAATAATAGTGTAATAATAATATTACCTATGTAAACATATTGTTATAGCTTAGTAGAATATGTCTGCACAATATCGTTTTTCTTTTCAGTCGACCGGTCAAATTAACAGACTGTGCATTTCTGATCGATGAAATGTGCAGTGATATTAACTAAATCTATTTTATTATAATGACTAATGAATCTGAAGTTATAAGTAAATTAGTTTATAAGTAGATACATAGTATAATGTTTAGTGGCCAAGTGGTGTTTATTTCAAATCAGTTCAAGGAGTTGAGCTTAATACCTAAGTTAGCAGGTAAGCATCTGTATACTCACAATTTTGGATAGGTACCATATCACTACTTCAAATTTGAATCAGCCCATATCAATGTATATCATAATAGAAAATTGATATTAAAAAGTTTAAACATTATAAAAGGCGGGTAAATTTTTTTTCATGATATAGGTTGAATAATATCTTAACTATTATTTTATGCAACTCTTTTCTTTTCTGATTATTTATAAATTGTTTATGGACTTCTTTTGTTTTTTATCTTGCTTTTATTGTTAATATAATATAATATTTATTTATTTTCTAAACTTTATTATAGGTATATTGTTTATTGTCATATATTATGTTACCACAATTTAATGTAATTTAGCTCTGTCCCTTTAGTACAAGCCGCATAGTTTGTTAAGAGAGAATCAAAACGTAATAATATATTTTAATATACATATTTTATACTTTTTTATAGTAATTATGTGGTTAATTTTTATTATTATGTACTTTGATTTTAATATATTGAGAACAATTAATAATGAACTATTATAATAGTCATTAAAAACGATTTGCACAAAGTGAGTTTTGAAGCTTTGATTTGATATAGTAAGCCGAAGTAATATGTAATCAGCTGTTTAGATGTTATCATTTTTTTTTTTCAATTGATATCATTCTATTTTATATTGGCAAGAAGGTCAACTTTTCCTTCAAGTTTTCGTCGCCATCAGTTAGGTAGGTACTCAAAAAATCACAAATCAAAATAGACAATTTTTAAATTATTTGGGACGAGAAATTTTAAGAAATATTGCACCAGACAAGAGAGCTATCGCTCGACTTTATGTTGATGCTTCGCAATGGTCAGTTTTGAATTTGTAAAAACCACGATATTTAAGGTGTGTAAATAGTAGTTTTGATAAAGTTGAAAACTAAGTGTAAAACGGTTGCCTTTAAAGTGTATTTAATATTCGGACAATAATCGACGCAAGTGTCCATGTGAATAGTATTTATATGATGATTGTTGTGGAAAATAAGTTTTTAATAATTTCTTGGTGGATATGTGGTGCATGGGAAATGCCAATAAAGGGGAAGCACGTATGGGCCTCGGAGCTATTGGTATACGTTATCGAAATAGGATAACACGGTATTTAATAATTATCTTCGCTAGTTCAGAATGAAGGTTTAGATTATCAATAAATTATTGTTGGCTTGTACACTTATAACCAAAATAACTACTGGCCACCTATATTTATTTGTATAAATATTAAATGCTATAATACTACCT